GTGCAGTCGGGGGACTCGTGTTGGGCTATGTCAAAGGTTATTTTTGGAGTGCCTTACGAGTCGATTACGAACATGCAGACCGGGGAAAAATGCCCGCACTGCACTGTGAACGTGGGGGATCAGTTTGAGATCGACAACCCAACAAAGGAATCAAACAGAAACGTGTTCTTGGACACGCAAGGAAAAGCGCACGACATTGTTTTAGAAGGGGTAAAAAGCGAAGAACAAGGATGGCAGGAATTTGACAAATTCCGAACACACGAAAGGAAGAAGCCACACGGCAGCGTTTAGCGTGGCTAAAAAGGAAGAAAATAAACGCAACTATGGAATACAACGACATTACAGTTAGAATACATCTGACTTATCATCATCCCAAAGGCAACCAAAAAACAATCATGACAGCGGTAATCATGTGTGTGAGAACACAAACACCAATATGCGACCCTTTTTCGAACCCAGGCTCTGTGAACTTGGGAACCGCGTTACGCTGTCAGACCAGCTTAGCTCAAGGCAAAGGTTGCGGGGATACCTATGCTATGTCGAACCCAAAAAAAGCCGAAAGACAACAGCAGCAAGCAAAGCGGAATCCAAGTGGCGCCGCCAAAATGGACAGCTTGAAACCAAAAAGACAACGTTGAAGAAAGAGGTTCAAAATGGAAAGCACTTTGCTCCTACGGTCATCCGAAATCATGTGGGAACTTGGTGCAGGCACAGCATGGCGGAGCGTGACGCTGCAGGATGTCCGTCAAAATCCGTCGCCTGCTTCCGCGCATGGGTACTGAATTCGGTTTCAAAATGTACACTGTGTGTAGACAGGTGGAACGACATGGATTTCGTGGCAACAGCCGCCGAGATGCGTGAGATGTGGTTTATGGATCACCGGTTTGGTTCAAACACGTAAGCAAGCGACTCAGAGCTGAGCCTGCTTCCAGCTCGACAGGTCCAGTTGTCGTTGTTGACAAGAGAGGAAATTGTTGAAAGGTGTCAAGACAAGCTCAGTGGAGCACATCAGACGCAAATAAGTCAGTCTGACAAGAAAGCGAAGCCGACTGCCTGTTCTAGGACGCACCAAGCTGAAAGCAAGAAGCTCTTTGGCGGACGTTCTTTCAATGGAAATTGCAGAGCTTCTCACCAAGATGGCTTTTGCAGCAAGAGTCCTTGCAGTGGAAACCTGTGATTGCCAAGGTCCAAAGTGGAAGTTGGAGTCTTGTAGTGTTGCCTGCAACTGGCATTGCAAAGCTTGCAGGAAGACTGTGGCTTGTCACAACTGTGGATTTGGACTCTTGGTGGGCAGAAGCTTCCGTTAAAAGCCATTGCGGGATTTGTGGCTCTACACGTCGAAACTCCACCTTTCTCCAAACGACTGTAGTCTGCTTCTTGGAGTAGATCACAGAGCGATTCTTGCTTTTTTTGAAAGCTTCCACAACTTCTTCGTGCCGTTGATGGACCAATTGAACGACGCGATTGTTGTCTGCAGTGCAGACGTTGAATTGGACGAAATTTCGGTCCACTGGTCGGGCACACGGAATTGTTTGGTTGATATACTTGGCAGTTGCACGGCGCCACGGCGCGGATCAAGCTTTGGTCCGGCTGCGACCTTTGGACTATCGCATCACTCGGAAAGGACAACGACTACTACTACGACTACTACGACTACTACGACTACTACGACTACGACGACTACTACGACTACTACGACTACTACTACTACTACTACTACTACTACTACTACTAAGGCGGAGGCGGAGGCGGGCACTTCAGTGGATGAAATGTGATCCGCTCTGCTTTTGGATTCCGATCAGCTGATTTTGGCGGAGGCAAGCGTCTGCCATACTGACGGTGCGAAGGCCTATCGGTGGCTGTCCAATCCACTGAATGATGGAAGTCTTGTGGACGCCGCTGGATTGAAGCTGTCTCTCACCTGTGTTAAGCACAAACCGCCACACCCAAAATTTTCTAAGAAAATTCGTGTTCAGGTGTGGGTTGGGGACCACTACGAGTTGGAGGACCCAGAAAATAGATGGTTTTTCGCGAGTTTCCGACGTGTTGTTGGAAGACGCCCCTTCAACACTGTAGGCCATTCCTCTGAAGAGAAGGCCATCCATGTCTGCTTTCAAACCGCCTTTTGTCAACCCGGAACCTGTACAGCGTAATCCGGTAGTCTTTCGGGACGGAGCGCAAGTGCTCACCTTGGACTGAGTGCTGCCAAAGCAAAAACAGCTGTGTTGGACCGTGGAAGAGAGTGGGAGAGACCCCAAACCCCAAGGTTTCGGGTTTTGGTTCGGGTTTGGGGTTTAGGGTTTAGGGTTTAGGGTTTAGCTAAACCCGAAGCTCGAAAGCCGTTTCGTTTCCTCTTTTTAATTAACAGTTAGCTACCGTGTGTAACGCCGCGCCCGGCAAAATTTTTTGAAAAACTTTTCGCCTAGCTTCGCATTGCTTCGCTTCGCACTCTCTTCTGCCTTTGACTCTGTAGAGCAGTCTTAACAGAGAACAGCGCAGATCCAACACAGTCAAAAAAGAGCCCAAGCGCTGGAGCAGTGCAAGTCTGTCTTTTTCGTTTGGAGGGAAGTGACCTCATGATTCACTCATGATGGCATTTCTATGGTCCAAAAATATTGTTTTGCCATTTGCTGCCCACAGCTCTGCTTCAGCTCCAGAATTTATTTTTCCCTGCATTGCTTGTTATGCTGATTGTTTTGGATCAAGCTCTCTCAAATTAGCTTGTGCTGCATGGCTGTTTTATGCTTGGTCACTCACTTAGAGCTTTGTTTGATGTTGTGGTCATTTTTCACGAAGGAAGATCAGTTTTATTTCAGATAATTGAAAGCGTTTGACTCCGTTGTGTTGTTGACACGTCTGTTGCAAGTATTTTTGTGTCAGCTTGACAGATGTCCGATTTGAGCAACCTGCAAAACATGTTTTGCAAAACGAAACTGTTGGTGCGTTTTTTACGTTTCTGCAATCAAGTGATGTCGCAAAATTTTTCCGAACATTCCAATCGCGAGCTTGAACTAGTCGCGGATTCCAAATGACGAGATGTAGCTGAATTTATTGACATCATCATTCAAACTTTGTCGAACCAGACGTTTCGAGCCTTGGGTGGCGACTTACTACATGAAAGAACTGCAGAACCAGCTGCTTCTTGCTGGCATGGTACAGCATCCAAATATCATGTTGCAGCCCTTGGTTGTCGAGAGATGTCAAGCGGCACAGCAAGCGCATGTAGTTTGCTAGTTTACATATTTAATATGTCTAACCAATCCCAAGTTGCAGAAGATTGGACTTGCATTGGCGACCTGCTATGTAGCCTTGATTGACGCTGTACATCATGGCTTTCAACACGGGATTTGCCGTCAGGTCCAAGTTTTCCATCTTGTTGGTCGGTTGATACAACACCCAATAGGTTCCTCGATTGGGTATTTGGATGCCAGCCTTGCAGGATGGATGCTCGGGACAACATCGACCAGATGTCGCCCGTGTCTTAGTTCGTTAGGGCAAAAGCATGTCCGAAGCGCTGCAGCCAGATCAGCATTGCGCGTTGGCAGAGGCAACCGTTGCGGGCCGCTACTTCGAAGCCAAGCATGCGCAAATTGATAGGTGGTTTTGGTGCCTTCGATTTGCCGTTTGTCTTGCTGACGTTATTGATTTCACTGGTTCAGACGCAGAAAAGAATGAGGGCAGCAATCATGCAAAGACTTTTGGGTCGGATGTTCGCATGATGTTATCATATCCCGACATCTCCATGAGCTGGTGCACTCAAAGGCTTGTCACGGCTTGAATCAAAGATGCACCTTTAACATGGGCTCATGGTCTCGTTCCTGTACTTCCTGCTTCATATCCTTCTCTGGCGACCCTTGGACAGCATTAGTCGGAGAGCCTTTTCGTCAACTTGTTTCTTCTTTGCCATTGTCATGTCAGCATGAGGACTTCGCGCAAGCCCACACGAGGTCCCCGAGAATACATTCCAGGTTTTGCTTCGTCACGAGTCGAGCTGTAGCTAGTCAGGTAGTCGGCAGGTCTCGAACCAGGGCATGCTGTCACCAGTGAGGTATAGTTACTATAGTTTTCCTGTCAAGAAGAGGTCATCGGTCATGTGTGCATTGTTTCTCAAACTCTCATCCGAGCAGGATTTCCAAGCACGCGTCGTCGTTCAGAAGGTTTCCCAGTCATACGGCAGCTCGGAGCAGCATGAGAGGACCCTTACTAACTTACATCCCATGTTGCATGGTGATACCTGTTTCTGGTTGCTGGCAGGAGGCTTCAAGATGCTGCCACATGTGAGGAGGTTCACACAGCTGCTCGGTACAGAAATGCTGAAATTTCCCTGCCAGCAGTTGCCAACAGCCCCTTCTCGAGGCTGGCACCTGGGGCCCGATGAGGTCCCGACCTTGGGGGGGCTTTCAGGGGCTTGCGCCCAGGGGCTGGCTTTGGCAACCCAGGATCGGATATGAGATGGTCGACATCGATTCGGTTCCATCCGATCTGGTGGATTTGGTAAACCAGACTGTGATGGCAACTCGACTGACTGACAGAGCAGACTCTGCGTGCTTTGATCTGCTTCGCTCTTCCTTTCCAGGCACGAGCTGTGGCTTACTGGTCTTCGGTGCTGCAGGTTCGTCAGGCCGTTTGGTGTGTCCTTGTGTTTCCCGCCTCCGTGCTTCGATGCTTCGGGCATCGAAATCACTCACCGAAGACCGAAGTAAAGGCCCAGAGCCCTCTGAAGATGGACCGCATCGGCACCGGCTGCTTCAAATATGCTGCCTGCCATCGAACAGCTGAAGGGTTGGTTGTTTTTGCTCAGAGTTTCAGGTTTGGGATTGTAAAGACGGGATGCCTGTGTCGGCAAAGATTTTGCCAATGCCAAGGGCTTCGACACGGACTGGCGCTGCAGCGGTATGCAAAGTCCAACTTGCGGTTTGATGACCATTCCAGACAAGTACCTGCGAAGCAAGCGAGCCTGCCAGGAAGTATGCGAGCCTTGGATGCCACATCTCTTGAGCTGCAGATAGTAGGGTGCAAGCAAGCCCTCCAAAACATCCGAGGGACCGCGCTGCACTGGAAGCTGTGTGCAAGGACCCGGGTGGGAAGAAAAAAGGGGCTGGGCTGAGCTGGGCACTCAATCGAACTGCCCGTGATCTTGCAGGAGGCAGCTGCGCCTGTGACGTCGACGAATGGCTGGTGCAACAAGACAATTACTGCTGCTACTTAACACCACAAGCTGGATGTCCAAGCGACTGCTCGCTCGCGAACGCGACACAGGTGAGCAACGACGCTTCTGGTGGCTTTGTTTGTGAGGGGGGGTGTGTTGATGCACCAGAAGGTGAAGGAGCCGTGGGTGAAGATCTCCACGTATTTGTGAAGATTGAAGATTCAGCGGAGTGCCAAAGTTCGTCTACTCTGCTGGCTTATGCCATTTCCTGCGGTGTTGACCAGTGTGACCGTCCTGTGTTTGGGTTTATCAACTTCTGCCCATCACAGCTGTCCACGTCGCCCGATGACCTGAGCGAAATGATTTCCACTGCCCTGCATGAGTTGGCGCATGTGCTCGTCTTCAGCAACGAGCACTTCCGGAACTTCCGCAATGCCGATGGAACCCCAATGATTCCCAGGGGAGCGGAAGATCCAAGGCTATACCAAGACGAGGTTCGATATTCGTGCAGTGCCGACTCCTTCCTCTGGAATGATACAGGCGGCAGCCGCAGGCAGGACTCCACGGCTTTCTGTGTTGTAACGGCTCTGGAGACGGGGTTCTTTGAGTGATCGGGAATAATACGTGGAGGAAAGCTTCGGTAACTTGCCAGAATCCCAAACGAAACCGCAGCCACACACACGTGCCCAAGCTGAAGCAAGCTCGGATGAGCTGGTGCAAAACTTGACATCTGGATATGCAGCGATTTTTGGACCAGAGTGGAAAAGGCGAGGTTTGTTGAAGCCCTTGAATGACAAGCTACACTCCTATCGAAATCAGTGTTGCACGTGAAGCGTTGTGTTTCACATAACGAATGTCATCGGCAGAAAATCTTGTGGTGATTGACTTGATTTGGAGAAGGTATGTGGATCTTAGTCCGGACATCCTTGACACATTCGACGAGCGGGGCTACAGCTGCCAGTGCCCGATCGGCACGCCAAGCCTCAATCCAGGACAGAGCCACACGAGTCATGAACCGCTCCCTCTTCCAACCGTAGCTTTCTGTAGGTATAATGTATTGATGTCTTATGTGGAGTTGGCGATCTTTTCAAAATTCTCCCAGTCAGGATGCTTCTACCCCGCTGGTGCACCATATCTGCAGATGCCAAGCTGCGTGGTGCGACTGAAGACACCGACTGTTCTCCGCGAGGCGCTTCCGTTCCAGTAGATGTTCGAGCTCTCGTATCATCTCGTACCAGTCGTAGCTACTTTTTCTTGCACATCGGCTACGCCATGTCCAAGATCCGTCGAAACATCCTGGCAGGGGGGTGCATGTGTGAGTCCGGCAGTACGTCCCTTTAACGGTGTCCCAGCTTCCAGGCTAAACCTGGCCCATGCGGCCCAAACAGAACTTTTCAGGGCCCGATGCTCCTGTGCCATCTTGGAGTCCTTGCCGAGCTTAGCCCCGGAACGTCGCAAAACAGACTTCAGGATACATAGACTAACACTTGAGCAGGTTTGCCACACATGATGGCCACAATCCTTGTCCGAGCTTCGCCTTCAGGTCAGGGACTTCTTTGGTTGTCCGACCCTCGCCGGTGCAGAGCTAGAGAATCAAGAAGGCCCGGTTTTTTTTGGGGGGCGGGGGGAGTTCCTTTTTCCGGGCTTAACATCTCGTGTGCATCTGCTGTGCGTCTGTGGCTATGGCAGGCAGCGGTTGCAGCATCATTAACAGTCACTGGGAGCAGAGGGTCTTCACTTCCGAGCTGATGGCGCCCGCGTCTTCGGAGCACCTGATTGACACCTACGTTTCCCGAGTCAGCCTCTCCGCTGAAACAAAGCGCGGAGACGACCATTGCCAGTTCTGCCGGGGAATTGCTTCAGCATGGTGCGCTCGTCACGTCGGTGTAGTTTTCGTTGTGGGACGCGCTAGAGCCTCATTGTCAACACCCGTCACCTCCCCGAATGCCGGGATCCACATGGCGGGGCCACCGCAGACAGTCCACCCCGAGCCAATTCTCAAATGCTCACGCATAGAGAGAGGTCACAAAATTTTCGGACGCGGTGTCTCCGATCTAAGAGTGATGAGGTTGATTAGGTTTTTATCGGCCTAGACTCCAGATGCCAGCTTTTGCATAGGCTGGCTTCCAGCCTCCAGCGCCTGAAGCCGCCTTGTTTTGTCTGATGTCTGACAAGCTCCTTCCGGCTGAGGCTTAGCCGTCTTCCAAGACTCTGGTTGGTACAACGCTAACCTCTCTGCTGCTGATCCCTTGATTCCCGGCGTCCACTGGGGCTACAAGCAGGGCTGCAACTTTGCAACGGCAAAGTGTGTGGATGGTGGGACACCCGTTTCCAATCTCCTATTTCGTATCGCTTGTCATCTGATTTCAGCCTTCATGCCCCTGCAAAGTCTGTCTCATCTTTCTATCATGGCACCAAGGTTTCTCCTCACTTTTGCAGCAGTTCAGCAGATGTATCGTGTTCGTTGGACAGGAAATCCGTTCTGGGTTGCGACATTCAGCTTCTGGATTCAGTTCCGCCAGTGTACCAGTACACGCCTGACAACGGCCTGGGCCGTTTGGCCGCAGCTGACTACTGCCCACACTATGCCGTGCGTTACGTGAATCGAGACTTGGCAGAGCTTAGCAGTTTCGCTCAGCCGCCGTTGCAGTCCCTTGCGTGTAAGACCGGGAATCCTTCCTGCAGTCCTGACTACGATGTGTAGCTTCGGCTTTGGTGCACGAGGTGTCTGCTCCAACAATGAATCAGTCACCGTGCCATACGGCAATGTCAACTTCATGAAGGAAGTCTTCTCGACGGAAAGCCGGTGCTTCATGAGCACACTACACCAAGATGTTCCAGCTGACAACGGAGGCTTGTGGGCAGTCCGTGACAGTCCGCCTCATCGTAACGACAACGGGTGTAGCATGCAGTGCTGCAGGGACATTCGTGGCTTCGCCAGATGATTTTGTCAACGAGAGGTGGGCAAGCTTCGCCAGCGCAGTCTGCGCGAGGGGTGCATGCTTGTGCCAGCCTTGAACTTCTCCCTCTTGACTGTGGAGGCCGGTCTGCTACAAAGTGGCCTGCGTTGACGGAGGGCAAAGCTATCAGCTCCAGGCAGGTCTCGAGAGCAAGGCCGCATCTCCAAGAACGCAAAACGAGCCTCAAAATGCTCCGACAGGTGGCTGACCAGACAGACCCGACAGCCTTTCTGTCGGTTGGGAGCTGCACGAGTGAAGGTCAGAAGCTGTTCCTTGGTCGAAGTGCGATCACTGTGCCTCACGTTGCGCTCGATGCTGCGCAATTCTCAAGGACACTGGCCGGTGCAGGCATGGTGCTCCCGGATCCATAGCTTGATGTTCCTTTCCTACCCCCTGCATCACGAAGGTGGCACAATCACTTGCGCGGCACCGGCTCAGGCCACCCGGCTCGTTTCTAGAGGGCGACTCTAAACCGATTGCGGACCGTTGCAAGGTTTGCAGTGACTTGTCGTCGCGACATGTTCTCGGAGATGAGTGGAAGCATGCGCCGGCACAAGGAGAAGCTTCTTGACGCTGTTGCAGTGAGTTGTAAGACAGATGTAGCCACTGTCAGAAACCAGCACCACGGTGACAAGCACGACTCGTAGCAGAAGCCTTGGTGCACTGCAGTGGGGTTTCACGTCATCGTGCAATGGTGAGCTCAATTCTTGTACAGCGCTCCGTGCTGAGGCACTACAACCGTGACGAGCACGACGGCTTCCACCACCACACACTCAGGCTGAAATCCAAGAAGCCTGGAGGTTTAGTGCTCAAAGCAATGCAGAGGTGCGACTCGTACTTCGACGTCCACGATAACGGGCAGGGATGCCAAGATGAGGGGAATGCCCACGGTTGAGCCACCATGCTGGATGGGCAGCACTCGCCTTGCGACAGGCACCTCCTCCAAGATTGCGGGGACGATCCTGGGCGGCAAATTCAGCAGCCAGTTGTACACAGTTGTGACCATCTTGCTGACATGTGAGCTTGTTTTCCCGAGCCCAAGGATCACCACAACCGGCTCTACCCTTACATCAACTTCTGTGGCCACACTCTGAGATTGTCATGCAAGAAGACCCACCCATCAGCCCTTTCTGCCGGTCCCATGCCAGGCTTCCGATTCGGACGAATTAGCTGCGGCCGGGCGGTCGGCCGGAATGATGGCAGCTGTGCTGTTGCTGATCACATCAGCTCTGTGCATGTAAAAAGGCTCGAAACGTGCCTCCACTCTCGAGAATTCGAAGTGGATGCACGTTTGTGAGGTTGCCCCGTAGGCACAATGCCCATGCCGGGTCTCTTTCAGTGGCTGACGGCTGGCTCAGCTTCTGAGAAGCTGGGGCCATAAGGGAGGGCAGAGGACGCGGCCCTCGAAGCTTTCGCACGGGATGGAATGGATGTGGGAAGGATGAAAGAGCGCGAGTCTTGCCGCCTTGCCCTGATGAGTTTCGACCTCCTCTGGGCGGAGAGTGGCCAGGCCTGGGACCGGCACCCTTCTGAACGACGGGACTTTCTCCAGGCCTGGCCGGGCGGAATGGGTGAGGTGTGGTGCTGTGGTGCTGTGGGGCTCTGCGTTTTCCACGCAGGTTCTCCCAGGTCAAGGGGTACCACGAAGAGGTGGGGACCCTTTGCGTCTCCGTTGAGAGCCATAGATGCCATGACTTCCCATCCGAGGCGGGATATCCGATGCAGCCGGAGGCAGAGCTCTGGGTCAGCTTCCTACGCCGTCCGAGCCCCCAGCATTGCACAGGGCACCACCAACCTCTTGAAGGAGGTGGGAAGCAAGTCACCTCGAGGGGTGACAAACGTGAGGGTGCTCTTGGTGCAGGTTCTGCGTCAGCTGGACGAAGACAAATCTCACCGGGAACAAGACATGGAGAAGCTGAAGGCTGAGGTGTACTCGCAACAGGCGCTGCTTCAAGCCGTGCCTGTCGGAAGGGACGCATCGGTGCACCTTCCATATGGTCCCATGCATGACACCCCGCCCGGCCCTTCTCAAGCAGGGCACACAGCCTCATGGGGTTGACACGTGGCTCCAGCAAATGTGAAACTACGTCGTTCTTTCTTTCTACGACGGGAGGGTGAGTAAGTCGAGTAAGTCTACGATGGCAAAGGGGCAAGATCGGTCTGGCATGCTGACCGTTCGTGTGCCTTGAGCCTTTGAGCCGACGCTGATGAGCTCCATGTCCGGAGAGGATCCAACGAATGGAATGGCCAGAGGCACACGAGCTTCGAAGTATGTTGGTTCTGTTTACCCTCCCTCGAAGCTGTCTGTGCCCAGCTTCGATCGCCGTGCCAGGCGCCCCTGCAACCTCGCTGCAGGCGTTGGCAGCAGCGCCGGCGCTTCGGCCGCACACCCGATCGCTGAGCACCGGCTCAGACTCTCTGAGACTCTGAGGTGCTTGGGCTCGGGGCTTCCGAGCCCCGAGAGCCCGATGAGGGCAACTTGGGGGAGCTCTTGAAGAGCCAGCTCGTCGAGCCGGAGCCTCGATGCCCCAAGGGTGGGCTATGTTGGGCGCTTTGCTTCGCTGCTGCAAGGCTGGGGAACTTCGTGGGTGGCCTGAAGCTGCGCAAGGAGGTTTCGCCAGCTCCAGGCGCAGGGTGCAGCCTCACAGCTTTGCTTCGCGTTTGTGGAGAGAATGATTGCTCAGAAGTGGATTCCTGGACTCCAGAGTGGGCCACGCGAAGGGTTCCCTCGCCCACGCGGGACGCGGCGCGCCTTGGCGCCGAAATGCAACGAGACCTGAGAGGAGCCCCTTCTCCTCTGCGTGATTTGAGGCTGCGGTCCCTGGACGCGAGCCTCTCTGATCTCCTCCCAGACCCTCGGCTGCCTTCGGCTGCCGTCACCTGTCGCTGCGTAGCATTGCCATGAGGGGGCCTTTCTCTGAGGCCCTGAAGCCAAGAGATCTACAAAGTGCCAGCCCCATGAGCTCGAAGAGCCATGCGACGAGCTTCCACAGCCCAAGCTCAGGTGGGGTTTTAAGTCACGCCGTTCTCTTGGGACCTTGGGCTCGCAGAGGCCTTGCCTACGAGCTGGAAGTGCTGCGGCTGCAGATCGCAGCCTTGGCCCAGTCGCTAGCAGGCGCGACTCGAAGTCCGAAGTGGGCCTTTTTGGCTCAGGCCTCCCTGCAACCCATATATCAATTGCTTGGAGGTCTTGGGGCGTGCGTGATGAACTGGTCTGCTGGTCTGGTGAGCTCCCACCGGCAAGAGCTGGCGGAGATGGTGCTGCGCTACACTCTTCCCTGCGAGCATCTCAGCAAAGAGCTGAAGGACGCCAAGATGGAAGCTGCAAGTTTCATCTAAGCTTGTCATACAGTGGTCACGTCCGCACACTTTGCAACGCTTGACATACTTGCGTTGTCGATCGTGTGGCAACCCGATGACTCGTGCTGCTACGGCGTAGACACGATATTAATATACGTCGCACATATCACACACATCTTCCAACTTTACATTCGTTCGAAAGCGTACAGACTCAGAACTCAGATCTGCAGCACCTGACTCGTTTCATGCGCAGTTTGGGTTCCGGAGGTTGAGAACCGGCGCTGAACCTGTCAGCGAGATGCGATGGTAGTAACTTAGTAGGCAGAAGGTCCGCTCTCCTTCTTACGACAGAGCTCACAGGGAGCACACCTGCGCAATCCACAACGGCAGTCGCGGCAGACATGATGGTTGAAGACCTCGAAAGATGGAGAAAACGGGGGGCAGAGAGCCAGCCAGGCAACACAAGTGCCTTAGCAGCGCTCTTGATCCAACCACCATGAATCTGCGGCCGCAACCGAAACGGGTAGACAAGCTTCCGCGATTCCACTGCTTGCAGCCCGCCAGACAGGAGCTGTGCCGGGACCTGCAGTCCATGGAGCTGTTGCCACACGAGCCTTCGTCCGGCTACCAGGACGGTGACAGAGTCTTTATGATTTCGTGAACTGCCGCCCTTTCTGTTGCATCTGTTTGGCATGGCCTCAGACACTTGGCACGTCGAGGATTCCGGAAAGGCCGTCGAGAAGCCACTTACCCTGGGTGCCCTTCAAGAAATGCTCCTATACCAAAGAAGACAGGCTGGGTGGGGCCGAGAGAGCCTCTCTTCGACGCCGGGCTTTTGCACACGACCCTGTTTCCGGTGAGGCGCGGCGGACGGACGAGGTCCGTCACGACGCGTCCCTTGTCGCCACATATCTTCTCGCCAACATCTAACGGCCTCGATGGCCTCTGCCACCGAGGATGTCATCTGCCATTCCAGACGAAGCCCTGGAGCTGGAGCGGATTCGCTGGAGCATGGAGCGTGAGGCAGCCCGTATGGAGGCAAGGGCATGCCGTGGTGTCACAAAAGTCCCACGGGCCGCATCTCCGTGCTGTCAGGACTGGGAGCGGGACCACAGAAGAGGCGTCTCAGTTGGCGAGCATCCCAAGGACGAGTTGAATCAAAAGTTCTGAACTAACAGAGGTGGCCTTAACAAGACGGTTTTGCTTTTGTCGAGTATACACTGGCCTGAGGACAGCCAGCAGCTGCAGTCTCAGAGAAGTAGCACATGCTTGGAGCATGGGGTGGGATCTAGACTTGCACAGAGCGGCCCTGTTTGTGCAGATCCTGAGGACCTCTGTACATAGCCTGAGTGGCCCTGCCGCAGCTTCCTTCAACTGGGCGGAAACCTCTGGTGGAAGGATCGTGTTCTGACGCGCGAGAAAATCGGAACAGGTCTGCCTGTGGTTACCTTGGAGTTGGGGTCTTTTTGAGGCCTTGTTTTGCAGAGCCGTCTACAGCTCCGCCCCGGTTGTAGAGGCCATCCTGAAAGACCTGGCGCAGACTCTTCTGGGTGGCACCTTGGAAGAGGCTTTGAATGTAACACTCTGCTGCAGCCTGTGCAGAGATCGGGCGGAATGGTTCTGGTAGGCCTTGGGGAAGATTCGCAGCTGGCCCCAGTTGCGCCCGTTATGGGGCTCGGGGGCACTCGAGCCACTGAAGGTGAAGACGTCTCCTCGCACAAGGAGCAGCTGGTGCCGTGGCTGAGACCCGCAGCTTCCGGGGGGGAAACAGCAGAGCCTGGAGCAGCTCCCAAAGCAGCCAAGGACCTCCAGGCCAGAGCCCTCCGAGAGGGCCTCTTGGACTTGGCCGGCCTCAAGGCCAGAGACTCTTCGATGACTCGGCTCCTCTCCGTCTCCGCAAGCCTCCGCGAGTCTCCGCAAGGCCGCGGGGCCGAGGCAGGAGGAGCAGACTCGGAGGCTGCTTGGCGAGCTGCCGGGTGCCCTGAAGCACCAGCCTTGGCGGCGACTAGCCATCGCCCTCTCTGAGGCGCGAGGAGATCTCCATGCAGATTCCGGGTGTCAAGGCCCGTTGGCTCAGAAGCCGCCTCCGCGTACGGCTTGCACCCGTGAGCCAACGAGGCCTCCTGCGAGGCTGTGGCACAGGAGTTTGCTGCAAGAGCTGCAGAGGACCGCTTTCAGCCGAAACCGGGGGCCTGGTCCGTGGTCCGTCCTCGTGCAGTTGACGATGTCGCACAGGACAGTGTAGCCTCGAAGCGGCATGCCGAAGCGCTTTGCGATCAGCATTTTGGATGGCAAAGATGGTTCGCACCGACGAGAAGCGGACTCGAGTTGTTTCGCAGGTTGAGGCAGCAGGTGGAGAGATCGCAGGACAGGAGAGGGAGAAGCAACTTGGCGATCTCTGTTTGGAGGCTTCATGTTTCAATCCGCTGCTTCCGCGATTCGTTCCTTCATCTAGCTCCTGACAGCGAGCTAAACTGCAACTATACTGTACTCTCAAGGGGTGCCATGGGCTGAAAAGTTGTCAGGTCTGTGAGAAGGGACCTGAGTGTCGGGCCAGCTCATACCAGTTGCAATTGTGATCTCATGTCCGTTCGACCTCCTTTCAGTTGAGATAATAGCTCGGCGGCCCGCGCTGCCTTGTTTCGTAGCTAGTACTTGTTCATCCTTTGGTGACCCGGGGTTTTGCATCAGGACGGCGGTCTCATTCAAGGGTTTTTTGTGCAGGTCCGTGAGTGCATTTTTGTGCAGGAGGCTGAGGCCAAGAAGCTGGAGCAGCTGGTGCAGGCGAACAATCGCCGAATCGTATCCTTGTGTTTCTTGCATGTCCTGGCCATCAGCGATGCCGCAGGCCGCGCAGAGACAGGTCGATGTTCTCGATGAGCGGCTTCAGCAGCAGCAGCGCTCCGAGTCGGAGCATCTCGGGGCCCGTTTTTGGGCCTCTCGCTGCGGAGCTGAGGCCCAGCCCTGCGGAAGCGCTGCAAGCGCAGCAGCTTGCAGTTTGCAAGCTCAGCTTTTCGGGGAAACAGGGGGCTCCTATCATGAGCCGGCCATTGGCGACTAAAGCCATGACAAAGGAACTGCAGGGTTCGCATCTTGCATGACTCAGACCAAGAAGCTGTTGCAACTCTTGATCGAGGTGAGCTCTTGCGAAGCCAGCATTCAGAACGCGATCTCGATAACTAGCAAGATCCAGCGAAGCACACTGGTCGAATCGATGTGATTCGCGATGGGCGATTTGCGAAGATGCTCGTATCTTCTGGGCGACTGCGGTGCTTCTCCAGTGAAGCGTTTGCAGGGTTGTCTGAGTACGTGAAGAAGAATGTCAGACGATGCTTGAATCTTGATAATTTGCAAAACTTTGAGAGGAAACAAAAGCAACTGAAGGCAAATAAGTTGAGATTGGAACGAGGAACCCAGCATATACAACCCGACCTTCGACACCATTGATGATTCTGCTGGCCGGATGAGTGGCACGAAATCTATCACCCTAAACCCTAAACCCTAAAGGGATACCGTAAGAATTCCTTTCAAGGGTTCCTGGTCCTGCAAGGGTTCCTTTGAGCCTATACGGTTACTATAGGAACAGGGTTCCTGTCGGGTTTCCTTTAAGACGAAAGGGTTGCGGGTGGGTGCTTTTCCAACATGTCTACAAATATGATCATTTTCCGATCTCCGAAATGAGGCACTGATGCACAGCAAGCCTCGGCATACGCGGTCTCGGCATACGCGGTGCAAGCCGAACTGCCCTCAAAATTTGAGGGCACAGTAGCCCCCACGTGGGAATAGCTCTTAACATTCCGTAGGTTCCTCATTACATGTGTTTATGATATACACCTAAGCCCTTTTCTCAGTGCGAAGGCCCCTCTATTACATGATCCAATAAGCTGTAGTCGTAGGTCTCGCGTCAACCGACCACCCTACGAAGCATCCTATCTAACATTATCATTATTACGAACATTGTTCTTATGACTGTTGTCGTTATTATTGCTGCTATTCTTACTATGCCATGTCGATGTCTGTGGATGTGCATCTGCTGAGTGGCAAGGTTGCCTCTATTGTAGTGGACGCGGATGAATCTGTTGAGTCATTGAAGCGCCGCGCACAGAGAGCTTTGGTGGTCCCGAAAAGGGCGCGGCTGCTGAAGCCTTCTGGAGAGGTGCTGGACGGAGCACAAACGATCGCAGAAGCGAAGTTGATGAGTGGAGACAAGCTCAGTCTCCATGTAAACCAGGTGCAGCTTAAAGCCGCCAATTGCACCGACGTCTCTGCGTTCGCCGCTCTCTTGGGTGATGGATCTGTGGTCACCTGGGGCAATGCCGGCTGGGGTGGCGACAGCAGTGCGGTACAGGAGCAGCTGCGAGATGTGCAGCAGATCCAAGCGTCCAATGGGGCATTCGCTGCAATCCTGGGTGATCGATCTGTCGTCACCTGGGGCAATGCCTTCCATGGTGGTGACAGCAGTGCGGTACAGGATCAGCTGCGAGATGTGCAGCAGATCCAAGCGTCCAATGGGGCATTCGCTGCAATCC